CTCAAGCATTCAGGAAAAATTTTTACTCAATCATCATTTATTCACCGAGCAATTTAGAATATGAGCACTCTGCAGATATTCGACTGGGGATCGGAATAACACAAAGTTCTCGAAGCTATACTCATATTCATCTCTAACATCTCAAAAAGTTATCTTTACGATCAAAAAAAAGGTCTTGAGTGAAATGGGACGCAAATCATACTGGTTTAGAAGCACATCTGGAACAAAAACTACCAGACGGTTCGTGAGTCCCGACCTCTTTCGCTTCTAAATTCCTGAGTATACAGGAAGAATATATAGCAAGCAGTATTCGAGGCCAAAAATTTTATCAACAGATGGGCACATACACTTGTTACAAACTAAGCCAAAGAAATTCGAATTCAGATTACGGATGGATACCGCAAAAGGGCGTTGATAATTTGTGCACAGATTTGAACAAAGCAGAATCTAGCTTTTCAAATCATGGATGCAGGCCGCGAGGGGGCGCAGTTAGTTTATGCACAAATGTAGACCGATCAGATTCGAGTATCCGTAATCAACTTTCTGGCACAAAACTAGCTCCTGTTCCAAATATCTGTATTATAACTCACCATCTCCTGTTCATAAATGTGACTTATCAAAATCATCTGTATCATCTTCTCAAAGTCAGTCTGGTAAAATTGGCTCATCAACCTGTAAAAAATGTACTTTTTTGAGATAAGTCGAATCTGTCTGAAGAGCCAGTACTGAATGACAGTTATCAAAAGTTGCTATATAAATTTGCGTCCACGCCTTTTTTTCCTGGTCAATGCAGACTCATTCGGAGCAAAAAGCTACTTTTCCGAGAAGAATGACGTCAGCCGAAATGGGAAAATTGGGACGAACCAAGTATGCTACTATCATCGCGAACATTCGCTGAAATTTTATGATTAGAGCCAGTAGGTAACCAGAACAGATCAACAAGGTTTTAGTGGTTGAGAGAAATATGACAGAAGATGAAAAGTCTCCTCCGGCTTAGCTTTGGGTAAATTGGGTGCAGATGAAATGATTTAAAAATTTGGTGAAAACACGATCCTCAATTTACGCGCATGGCGATCAAGAATAAGGATTATAAGGATTTGCCTTTTTGGAAAGTTGCAACAATGATTGACAGCTGTATCTTTAATGATGACCGAACTGCAATTCCAAGTCGTCTTTAAAGAGCAGTTCTTACCATCTTGCCCAGATCTCATCCAGGATAGGACGCGCTGGTCGACACAGCCCAGTATCTGTGGAGGCGGAGGGTCCATAATGATATCGTGAGCCTATGCAAAAACTATGCAATGCACCAAATTTGATGAGCAACATCTGAAAGGGGCCTTTCGACAGCAGACGACAGAAGAGGGACAAGTGAAAGCAGATGTTGGATCAAAGTGGTAAGGAAGGGGTGCCAGAGTCGTGATGTTATGTTTCGCCGAAATTCAAAGTGGACAACCAGTCAGTTTCGGACACTCCCTAGCACAAGCCCCCAGAACAAATCGTGAACCAGCCAATGAGTGGATGGTCTGGAAGATGATGTTGTCACATGAGGAGGGATATCGTGCACTACGTACTCTAACGGATCACCACCAACTTATAGCCGCTTCACCCAGAACTAGCTTAACTTCGGGAACGCAAATTTTTAGATCGGATACAACGGACCTTTCAACTTCTAGTACCTTTCAACTTCAAAGTACAAAAAAAACTTGATACGTTATTTTGATCTTATCCGTAGTCGATAGAAGTTTATGGGAAGGTTGCCAATCGGAAATCGTTGAAACCACTAATTAACCGTTATTTAGATAAAATTTTCAATATCACAATTTCCACTTATATAACGGAGTCAGTAAAAGTGATTAGAAAAAGTGAAATCTCCCTAGGGCTAAAAACTTCACAAAATGCAGCTCAACAAGGACCCGGCACCCCAATCACTGGAAAAAGAGCGTTAAGGAGACTCCGAATCTCTATTTCATCGTCATTGGACGAACTGCCCAGCCCGAAGGTTCTAGCTCCGTCTAAGCAGTTCACAGCAACTGCAGGGGAAGCACCAGGAGACTGCACCCAAGGTTGCCAAAACCAGTACTCCAGTTCAGGAGTCTCCTGCAGCAATCCTGATAGTGGATTCCAAGAATTCATCTTCCAGCTCTAGCGTGAAAATCATTTCATAAGTGGCAAACTCGCCCCCAGTCAATCATTCTTCATCCTCCAAGTCGAACCCGATCTCGATCATAGTAGAAAACAACCGGGCAATAAGACCAGGAGTGTAACTATACAATCTGAACCTGAAGTAACGACGGACGCCACCAGTCTAGTCCCAGTATCATCGGAAGAGGATTTACTGTTAGATCCGAATCTCACCCCACAGCATTACTCTTTGACTATCTCTATGTCAACTCCAGACGCAATTGCAACATCGATCATTTTATAGCACCGGTAGCCGTAGTTATTACAGCCCAACAAGACGACGACTCTATCAAACTACCCATTGACGCAAAACCCATGACGTTCAGATCTACAAAAATCAATATCAAATGCCAAATCTTCTAAATCAGTTAGACGTTGCAGCTTAAATCATCAATGCAGAAATTTCGAGGAATTTTTGGTTCAGTTTGCTTGATTTAAAATATGGTTTTAGTCAATTTTTACCTTGCGATCTTGACAGTAGCTGTTGCAATTTTAGTATCGTATGTTGGTAGTCTACGGTTACTTAGCGTTTTAAAACTATTTTCTTATGGTCTTACGGATAATACCAAGGAGTTTCAGAAAGCAATGGAAAACACGCTACAAAACATCTAAGTCGTATTTTGCTTTCCTAGTGAGATACTCATTGTCTCTAAAAGTTCAATCGAACATCACACCGATTTTTTCAAGAATCTATTTACAAAGTTAGACAAGGAAGGGTTCAACTTGAAAATTTCAAAGTACGAATTTTCGGGAAATAAGATGTCGAGGCTGGGTTTTGATACCAACGATTCCCTTAACCAATCGGCTAGCAAGCATCCGCTCACCACAAGCATTTATAGAAGATAAACCGTTTCGAACTCTAAAGCAACTCCTCTCCTTTATGGGCTTAATCAAGCATCTACAAAAATTTCTACTCAATCATCATTTATTCACCGAGCAATTTAGAAAATGAGCATTATGCATATACTCGTCTGGGGATCGAAACAACAAAAAGTCCTCGAAAATACAGTCATACCAATCTCCAACATCTCAAAAGTGTATCCCTACGATCAAAAAAGAAGGTCTAGAGTGAAATGCGACGCAAATCATACTGGTTTAGAAGCACACCTGGAACAAAAACTACCAGATGCTTCGTGAGTCCCGACCTCTCTCGCCTCTAGATTCCTGAGTTTGTAGGAAAAATATATTGCAAGCAGTATTCGAGGCCAAAAATTTTATCAATCTCGTCTCACCAGATGGGCACATACGCTTGTTACAAACTAAGCCAAAGAAATTCGAATTCAAATTACGGATGGATACCGCAAAAGGGCGTTGATAATTTATACACATATTTGAACAAAGCAGAATCGAGCTTTTCAAATTATGGATGCACCTGGCGAGGGGGCGCAGTTAGTTTATACACGAAATTAAACCAATCAGATTCGAGTTCTTGATTCTCATTCGTCTCTATTTTCTCGGTTTTTAAGTAACATCACCTACCGTTAAGAGACTAAAGATCCTCCATCATATCAATTAATTCTCTTTTTTTGCTACCCGTTAAATTTTTATTGCTCAATTCTGATTGGCTCAAAAAGTCAACTGAGATCCAAATTGGCATACTGTATCATAAACCACGCGCTCAGAACTTTCATATAAAAAAATGCTTCAACAAGTTCTACCCATATCCAAGTTCGCATACTCGCTCCAGACACAACGGGAGTCCACACCAGACACAACGAGAGACCAGGTTGGAAACGAATCTTCTTCATCGGGAACCTCAAGACATATCAAGAACAAGACTCATCACTACGGTAGCCCGATATACCACGCCGTTAAGGAGGTTTCAGAGTCTCACCATTATGTGTTTCCAGTGGGACAACTATTCCCATCTCAGCGGGGGAGCTATATTCATTGCCAACCCCGAGAGAACAATCGGAGTCGCAAAAAGGAGTGGAAAAATGGACCTCAGAAGAAAGAAGACATGACGAAGAAATTAAAAGTAAAAATTTAACTGTTATGGAAACAGTTTGTCAAAAATTATAACTTTGAAATTTTTTAAAATTCCAGTTGATCAGAAATTTTTTGAAGGAAGGGAAGTGTGGTACGGCAAAAGGCCCGCCACTTAAAAGTTAAGATCATGTGCTATCTTTGAAGGTTATAGCGTTAGTCTATGAGTATTGTTTAGTTGAATAGTTTGTCATGGTCGTTACCTGTCGATCGAATCATCTTTCGTGTAAGAGGATGAAAAATCACTCTCTTTGTTGCTCTGATGTAAGTTTGCAGTACAATTTATCTGCTTTTTGTTAATTCATATCAATTCAACCTACTTTATTTTAGTCTTAGTTAGGTTAAGTGAGTCTGTCGGTTGTTATCCCACAGCCTGACAGAGACTAGTCCGTTTTTTACATCAATGTGGTCGGACTATCGTATATACTACTCAGTGCAGTGGTAAAAGGAAGGTTGACCGCCCTCCTTTTTCTTAACTCATTTCTGGTAGTCAAGTTCTTTCGAAGAGTATTCTTTTTTTATACTGCCTTACGACAGCCAACTTTGACTGATCAAAACAAAAAATAAAAAATTTTGTACCTTATTTTACTAATTTTGAAGGGGAGCGGGTCGATAAATGTTTGTAAGCGGGTCCCAAAAGTTCGCAAGCGGCGCAGAAATTTTTAGAACAATTCAGTTACTTCAGTGTGTTGAGATAGCTCAGAAAATCTATTTAGTTGTCCTAAAAAAGGTTGACATTTTCGAAAAAAAAATTGAAAAGCCGTGCCACCACAACCCACTCCTCGGAGAAAGTAGCCAAACATCGAATCTGCCAAACATCGAAAACAATGTACCTGATCCCCACATATTGCACTGTGTGCCAACATGAGTCAGTCCGATAAAGCTCGAAGATTTTGTGAAGTCCCGCGTTATGAGAAGAACAGCGTTGTCGTGTGTGGGAAATTCCTTCAGGTTTTCCGAGTGGTAGTTTATGAAATTGCGCAGAACACTACCTGCCGTCTCGTTCCCTGTTGGATCCGACTCGGCAGTGGTGAAGGTGTGAAAACCTACCAAGGAAAGATGGAGGTTGATGTTTGTCAGGCCGGCGAAGTAGAAGTCGGCGAAGTGCACAATCTCAATATCTTTATCCAGAAGCTAATCCAAAAAACAAAACAGATATTCACCAAAAATGAAGATAAGCAAGACTCTGCCAGCAATCGCTGTTCCAGGAATTAGCAGACAATGTGACTAATCTCAGGGCTTTAATCAAAACTGTCCCCCAATAAATGCTGCATTCATCAAATTGATTTTTTAAATTATAAATTTCATCTTAAAAACACCCAATCTCGGAGATCGTCATAAGACAAAATATGTATAATTTCAGATCTTTCTGACCTTTTATCCTAAGTATATTAAATTGTTAATGGAAAACTAATTCATGTTTTGAGAGCAATTTCGACAGAGCTTTATTCTGAGTTCCATTTATTTGATGATGCAGTCTCACATGTTCGTCCTATTTGACGTATCTTTGAATATTTCCTGCAAAATAAAGTTAGACTTTAAAATATCTATTTTTAAATCATGCCTGAAGTTCCTCAACGAACTAGGGGAAATAGGGGAAAATTAATTTGAGTAACAATTATACGAAAACTAACATCTTGCTCGGAGGGTCCAAACTTTTCGTACCAATCAAAGCCATGGAACAGAAAGATTTCCACATAGCTCCTTTCCTGTGCATTTCTCCTGGACCTGCTGGACTTTTCTGGAAGCGCCAACCTTTTCTCCTTCGGTTCAAGTGAGACAATCGGTCTGATTTGATCAATCGCGCCACAAAATATTTTGGGATCAATCGAGCGTATCCTCAATTTATCATTTTAAGCAAAAATTTATATTTTGCTAGTTAGTTATGAGTTGTTGCACAATATCTCTGTAATTTAGCATCAATTATTTTAGCTATTAGGTGAAGTCCAAACTTAGTTTAATTGATCCAATTTTCTTCTTCCAGGTCCTTCCGCATATGTTCTGCTGAGAACATTATCCACTTGCCTTCATGGTCATTAGTGTGCAGCGTGTAGACTTTTCCATTCAAGGAAACTAGTCCAGCAAGTTCTGGAACATTTTGGCCTTCTTTGTCGCAATACTTGATTCGCACTGGACTGTGAACGTCAGTTTGTTTGTCTTTTGAAACGTGACCTTGATAGAGACATGTAGTTACTGAAGATTTCAGGCGAGTGCTATGCAGGTTTCCTCTTTGAAACTCCGTACCGGAACGAGAAGTAGACCTGGAACAAAGCGAGATAGAAAGAAGGGAAAATACAAACCGAGGGCACTGGAATGGATGCATAATCTTGAGACTGACAAAAAGGAGGCGCAAAACATCCAGCAAGTCGACGTATCAGCAATGAAACATGTGAAGACAAGAAATCAACTATTTGGTTGGACAGCCACTGAACGGCCACTAGAAATACCACCGGACAACTTGAACCCAGCACCATCGACGGGGACGTCGAAAAATATTTTTGTCCAGGGAGTGGGGGTAGGACTTACCCACACCAAAAGTTTGATGATAAAGAAGCTCAAGGAATTAAGAGAGACGGGTTTCCAATATCATCACCGGGCTCCATTTTCACAGAATTAATTGTGACCCAAGACTCAAGTTTGTCCATAATATTGTCTGCGTTCGTCAGTGGCAATAAAAAAAAACATTAATTTGTACAATCAAAAATAGAATCATTTTGACGGTGATTTGGTAAATGCAGAAAAGAAAACGTTTCTGTCGAGAAATTATGTTTTTGACGTCAAAAATGAAATCGGTAAACCTTATAAATTAATTTTTTTCCTGCTAAGTAGTCTTTTTTATCGGTAGTTTTTTGTAAGAACTTGCTGTCAAGATTATGGTTTTGATTACGGTGCAAAAAAAAATAGTTGCTTAACCACGGACTAACAACAAGAAAAGTTATATTTTTTGTTTCATCGTCAGATCCACTTTAAGTACAGTATGTACAATATGCAGACGTGTCTTCTATTTTTTGTCTGGATTTTCTTAGTACAATTGGCGTTAACATTGAGAAAAAAAATCAAACATGGCAAGAAAAATTGAGAAGGAACTGCATAAGAAAAACAATAGCTTCAATGCAATAAAGATGATTTTTTTTGTTTACATTGATCAAACTTTTTTCCCGACCTTTTTTAGGATTTGACAGAATATTTGTACTCAGGTAACTTTTAAACTTTTTTTTGATGTCAACCAACAAGTATCTTTGCCCTGAGCTCAAAATTAGAAAAATTTTGTACCTGTGATCATGTTTTTCTAGTTTTTGGGAGTTTAAAAATAGCAATTTTGGCCAATTTTTGACTATTACTTCGCGATATTTTTTGTTTGCATCGATCAAATTTTTTTCCCGATTTTTTTTTAGGATTTGACGGAATATTTGTACTCTGGTGTTTTTAAACTTTTTTTTTGATGTCATCCAACAGGTATCTTTGCCCTGAGCTCAAAACCAGAAAACATTGTACTTTTGATAATGTTTTGCTAGTTTTTGGGAGTTTAAAAATAGCAATTTGGCCAATTTTTGACTATTACCTCGCTTATCGCGAGATTTAATATGTCCTACTGATTTTTCTAAATTGAATTGAGGAGTGTCTGATTAAAACTTTGACATACTCAAAATATACCACTTTGTACTTTACATAGCGTGTGGGGAATGGATTCAAAAGAAATCTCAGCAAAAAAAAATAGATTTTTTTTTTAAATACCTTGAGTTTTTTGAAAACAAAAATTACTCCATTTAACTTAAAAAACAGTCGGAAACTTCAAAATTTTGCCCTGATACGATCAATTTTGTATTGATTTTTTTCCGTTCTATATAAAGAGCAAAAATTTTTTGGCGATGTGTTGCCAAACTGGACCAGCCGTCAAAAAGGAAAGCAAACTTAAGACAATTAATCCACATGGAAAAGGGATAACATACTATGACGTAGAATGTGTGTTTTTCTTCCTATATTTAGATACTTCCAGTAAATTTCGTATGGTAATGTGTCATGTGTGGTACCAATTTGAAAGCCGGCTAAAGGTGTTTCCGATTTCAGAAAAGAATCAAAAACATTTATTGTCTCAATGTCCAAACAAACTGTTATAAAAATGAAACAAAAAAATCGAAACAAGTTTTAAAAAGTTTTTTTTCCAGATATCTTACAAGTTTCAACAACCTTCTAACAAATGTTTCCAAATGTGGCTGGAAGATTCTGCACCACTTGCATAGCAACTTGTTTTCCTTGGTTGCATTTCATAATAACTACAATACTATTTGATGAAACAGATGCTCTTGATTGCTGCATACGAGTTTGTCGAATAAAATGAAGGACGGGACGGCAAAACTTCTGAAAAACGGAGCGGATTAGTATGAAAAACTGGCAGATGCAAAATTTTTGGCCGCTAAGCGAATTACCAGGAAGTAATTGGCATCTTTTAGCCTTGTAATGATTAATTCGGTATGAAAAAATTCGGGTTCGAAAAACTCGAAAAAAAACATGTCATTTTTCACAATGGCCTTGTTGCAGATAACAATACACAAAAAAAATGCCATAATTACAGTGGGCTTCCAGTTTTGTGTTTGTTCAATTATTTGTTACTCAATGAAGCTACCATTCTCTCTTTTCATTGATAATTTTTTAAAAGTTTTTGAACAAAGCAGTATATTCACCTAACGGACCGATGCATGAAAATGTAATCAACGTTGATCATAATAAAATTGTTAAACTTGCAGCAATATACATGGAAATCTAAATTTTCTCAAAAATCATAACTGAATGCTATTTTGTTACCCAATAAAGCTACCCTTATCTCTTTCATTGATGTCTTGTAAAAATGATTTCGACAAAAAGTGGAGCAGTTTATTAACCTTATGGGCAGAAGCATGGAACTGTTATCAACTTTGATCATAAACATTTCAATGGTTTCCTGAAAATCTAGAGGGAAAATTAATTTTTCTCAAAGATTAAAACTGATCGCTAATTTGTTACCCAACGAATCAAATTATCTCTTTTCATTGATAATTAAAAAAGTTACTTCCTGTAAATTTTTTGAAACAGATGCCTTTTCTACTTTCAGTTTTTCACCACACATTCTCATGAGACAGAAAAGGAAGAACGCAAGGGAATTATTTATGGACAAAACTTAATTTGACTGGGGACAAGACGTATAATGACACTGAGAGGCAATGATGATTTTACCGTAGATTTGTGTTCACTTCCTCCAAAGGATTAGGACAACAGTTTGATGGCGAATTCTAAAGATAATTCTAAAAAAAAAACAACTTTTGATGGAGATTGGAGAGTTGCTCTCTCAGAAAATGGTCTTTTTCAAATAAACCCAATGCTGACAAACGGAGTAATTTCCCATGCATTATTTTGATGGAAAAATTTAGCTCCGATTAGGCGAATACACTACTATAGAACAATTGATCACTGAAGAAAAACACAACTCAAAGACAAAAGTCAACTCGGTGCAACTCCTCAAGAAGTCATAAATTGCATGCCTGTTTTGATGAAAGCAAATGCCTGAAAATCTTCCCCAAGTGCCCAAATACCCTTTTTGATAGGTTGTAGCGCATAAAAAGAGAAAAAAAATGATTATCACATTAGGAACAAAATGATACCTTCCTTCGATGCATCTTACGAGGGAGCTCAACATAACGAATTTTTTTTGCCCGTATAACTTATCTGCTGGGACAAGACTAAATTTTGACTACGTTGACATTATTAGAAAAAAAACCGCTGGAAAAACCCCATTGTTGACAATCATTGATTTAAGCAGATGCATCAAAAACGGTTCTGATTGCAGCATTGATCCTTGTTGTTGACAAAATTTCACTAATCTGGATTACAAATTCAAAATTTTTCATTTGATCTGTACAATCAACATCATCACAAACTTGCAACGAAGCTGGAAGACCAGTTCCACTTGCAGGGACTGGTTAAGTTGCGTTGACTTTAAGGTTCAAGCGCTTTAACTGTAAACAATTGAAACACTATTATACAAAGCAAGCTGTACTCATTTATTTAGACGCTATCGACAACGCGGTAGTGAATTTGGCGCCCTGCATGCTGGTAATGGTTAAAACTAATCGCTACTTTATTACCCTATGAAGCTTACCTTATTTTTTCGATTGGTTTTTGTAAGCGCTTTTGACAGAATTTGAACCAGTCTCTTCAATCGATGGACCGATGCATGTAATTGTGATCACTTTTGACCATACACGTTTTGTTGATTTCCTACCAATTTACAGATGAAATTGATTTTTTTTCAAAGATAAAAGCTGATCACTATTTTGTTAACCAATGAAGCTACTTTTTCTATTTTTCTTTTTGTTTCTAGTTTTTGATAGAAATTGAAACGATCTAATCACCTAATGGACCGATGCTTGAAATTGTAAGAAATTGTAATCACCGTTGACTGTAAAAATGTTGATGAACTCCGAACAGTCAACAAACAAATATGATGCAAAGTAGCAAAGACAAATCGAGCTGATCTGAGATACGACAAGAGTTCTCCCTCTGTGCCTGAATTACCGTTCCTAATAAATAACTCCCTGTTTTCGCCTTTATCTCAATTGAAATTTAATGTTACAGATTTTTCAACAGCAAAGAAGCCAAGGAATGGTGGCTCAAACTTCAGGATGTTGTCATGAAAAAAACCAGTTGATATAGATACCTCTGTTGTACCTCAGAAAGAAAAATTTTTCCGCAAAATGCAGAAAAGTGGTTTTTATGTTCCAGTTGAAAACGATTTTTTCATCTGTGACAACCCTTTGTACTATCCACAAATTTTTATACAGACGCTCGCATGAAAAATTCATAATTGAAGCTGAAGAAGCTGCGAAGAATAACAAGCTTCTTTTACTTGATGACAACTTAGTGAAATGACCGTAATGGACCACATGCTTTCTGTTATTGGATCAATTTTGCTCAAAATTCCAGCGAGTTACCCAGACCAAATAAAAATTACCATAAAAGTTTTTACAAGATATTTTCAGCGGAATTGGCCACAATAGATGATTTTGCTCGAGAAACGGTTGAGACAAATTATGATAGGTTGAACAACTTTCTGGATTCTGAGTATTAACCGAACGAATTTTTCCATTGTCAAGAGTACAGTATGCTTTAGAGTAGGTCGATACAGAGTGGTTTGGTTATAATAAGCGCATCTTTTGGTCCGCAGGATATTGAATGTATGTTCCTCAACACACCGTCAGTGTTGGTCTGCTTGTTCACCGTCAGCGTACGAGCAGCACTCTATTTTGGTTTTAGTCTACTAGCACACAGTCTGCTACTCATAACTTCTGCGTTAAGAACTTACTTTTAGCTCAACTTCTTTCGCTTAAGTTTTCGCAAATTGTCTTGACAACAAACCTGGAAAAATTTGCTTGAGAAATACAGTTATACAAATTATCTAATAAATCCGACCGCAAAGTTTTAGAGAGCGTCTTTCATAATTCTGAATTTCAAAAAAGGATGAAATTCATTTGCATGATCTTATTCAGAAATGTAAACATCTAAAATACAATATTTTTGTAGTGTTTGCAGCCGACAATTTTCCTTTTCAAATTCCAAACATGGCTTTCATATTTAAAAAAACTCCAAAGTCATATTATCCGGTGACATATTAGGTGACCTTGACTAACATCATGGGACATGACAACCGTCGAGACTGATCCACGGAAGTCTGCTAATGGCAGCCTACGGAGATCAAGGCGTACTGTACCGCCAAAAAGTGCGGGGGACGATGTGGAGAAACGGGAGAGTCTCGGGCAGTTACTTTCTTCTCCCTACCAGATGCATTTGGAAATAAGGAGGATGCATTTGGAAATAAACAGCGAAGCTGCTTCGCCCGGTTCCCAAACAAGAGTAGCTGGACCACCATCATAAACATGGCCAATTGTATGTCATCACAGTCTCTTTCCTTTAGAAGGTGACAGCTCGCATCGCTAGCCGGCGATAAAGGAAAGTCACTTACTGTTAGCAGCTGATAGATCTCATCCCTTTCGGTTAGATTGGTGATAGACCGACTTTTTATTAGTCGTTCAAATTTGTTCCGAACTCTCCATAAATACTTCAATGACCGTTTTTTAGCCAAATTCATCACAGTGATAGTTGTAAAAAAGAAACAGATCAAAAACGACGTTTTTAGGCTTTTTTGAATGGTTTTGTATCTCAAAATTAGTATATTTTGGGGCCGAAAGCCAGGAGCAAATGAATCTCGTAAAAGATGCCAAAGGAGGGACCCTATGGGTGGTGTGTGGGTCAAAACTCTGAAAAGGGGGAATAACGTCATACCAAAAACACATCCGCCTGACGTGGTATGAGAAGTGGTATCATATTAAAGACATCAATTTTGAGTCGGATTAGATCAAAAACTTAGGAACGTTTCGTACAAAATGGACCGCCACAAAGACCCACATTGATTATTTTCGACGTAAAACTCCTATTGCCCATAACACAAAAAATATCCCACACAAGCGATTTTCACAAACTTTTGATGAACAATTTTTTCGCGAAAGTTATATCTGGGTCTAAAGAGAACATTTAGCTTTAGCTTCATGTCATTGATCATCATTCGGATCTACAGCTAATCACGCGAAATCAAATTTGTTTATAAGAGCTCCAATTTTTCAATCTTAAGTAGACGATCTTAAGTAATCAAAATTGTTCAAAAGCATGCAAATAAAAATTATTTCGTAAGTTACAAAGTGACCCTGACTACTGATGATGTTAGACCTTGTTTCAAACGCGATCTTACTCATTATTTGAACAAAATCTAATATTCAGGCAATCACATGTTATATTTATCACCGATCAGCTTCCATACTTAATAAGCTTTCATGATCTGCAATGACTTGAGTTATTTGGTTAAATTTAAACTAATATTGAACCATGAGATGAAGCAGACGGTGCTTTTGAGCTACTTGGCCTGCTGTGTCGTCTCATCCATCATCGGCTTTAATCACGTCGTCCTCAATAACACCTCTGAGGTATTTAAGTTGGGTGCAAATCGCATAACAGAACGACCGAATGCGCGAAAGTTTCAACCGATCAACGCCATTTAAACTGCCTAAAGCTGACTGATTTTGACTTTTGACTCTTTCACATAAGTGACAATTGATTTCTAAATAGCTAAAGATATTTGTAAGCCATTCGGTTTTTTTGGTATGAGTATGTCTTCCCGTTTAAGTTCTATCAACGCCTCTTAAATGGATTGTCAAGTTTTTCAAAATGCCAACATTTGAATCATTTTTAACAGAAAACAACACCAAAAAACTTAATTTTTTCTAAGCAAGCTATTCAAGCCTTAAAACTATAAAATATTTTGATTTATTTCCTTGATCGAATCGTTTTGCGAAAAATATAAGTTTTTCTAAGCAAGCTATTCAAGCCTTAAAACTATGAATTATATCAATTTATTTCATTGATCGCATCGGTTTGCGAAAAGTATAAGTTTTTCTTTTTTCTGAAGCTATTTAGGCTAAGAAATTTTGAAACATAACTTCAAAGATTAAAGAACATTTTATTAAACCAAGAAAAAGATTCAAAATTACTAAAAGAAAATTTCTCATATGGCTAGACAAACCCAATTAACTCAAACTTCAATAACGAAAAACCTTAAGCATTCTCCAAAACTAATTTAAGGAAATTTGACGAAGCCAGAGTTAGCAATCGAACATTTGTAGAGATCTTTGATCAAAGAAGAAATAACCTGGCCAAATTTGACACCAAAAACTGTAGCGACAAAAAAAGAACGGCAAAAAAGTTTTTTAGGGCGAGGAAGAACAGAAAAGAGATCTCTGGCTGTCATAATGGGTCAATAAAAAAAAGTTTCGAAAGACATTGAGTGGGAATCTTAAAACAGTAGGGAAAACCATCGAAGAAGCGGATGAAAATTGTCTGGAATAAACCAAAAAAAACTCGCTTCTGGAGAAAGCATGGAAAAAAAGGATTGCGTGCAGTTGCTAAAAATTTAACGTTCACCAACAAAATTTGGAGGGTTAGGTTGAACGATTTGTTTAAAAAAAGACAACTAAGTTGCTTTGAAAAGAAAGTTTTCATCGCATTTTTTAAAACTGTTATCGTAAAAAAGAACTATTATGGAAATTTAGTCTAAGAGCCAACCCTTATGCTACCTATGCGATGAAGAGTTAGCAAATTTAAATCATCTGTTTGATTCATGCAAAAAAACTACACGTCAACTGAAATCGATAGGTGCATAGAGTATATGCGACACCATCACGTCCATTATAGGAACAAAAGTGAAAGTTACTGTTCAAATAGTTACAGGATCGTGGAATGAAGTAAAACAAAAAACTGAGAATAGGATCATGAGACTTTTGAAAAATTCGCCTCTTTATAGGCTAAGGCTGTTCGAATAAAACAATAGAATGCGTACTAGATGTTATACAAATTTTTTATCATAAAACATACAAAGGAAAGAAGTTAAGTCTTTGGACCGAGATTTCTATTTAAGATTCGAGTTTTGCTGAAATCTAATTATGGTAAAAATTTGACTAAAATATTCTACTTAACAATTACCCCCTTTTCTTGATAGGAGGTTATTGTTAAGTAGATCTCAAACTTTAAACATAGTCACCAACAAAGTCTGAAAATATTTATAGTCAAAGTCTGGACACAGTCTTAAACCACGTATGAACACATTCTGTTACAAAATTTGAAAACAATGCAAAAATAAGAAAAAATCACAAGCAAAAACCCGACCAAAAACTTACTCAAAATCTGATATTAGAATTAAGTAAGGCATAAGAATAACACTAAGTTTTATATAAAATATTTGATTGAAACTTTTGTGTCTGGTTTTGGTTGACAAAAATTTAAAACAGTTGCAAATATTATGCTTGCGGTTTGTTCCAGTATTTTTTCCAGCTTTGAACACGTCTGCAACTACAAGATCTTTACCTGATTTGAACGTCATTCATTCGCAATCTTTAGAGCTAGGCAAAACCGTCAACACAAAGAAAACAGCATGCTCGAAGACAATGAAGTCAAACATAAGGACTCACGAACACAAGGAGAGTTATTGATAAGACGTTTATTTAATTAGACACACGAGTAGCATTTGCTTCACCTTGACAACTGGGAGTACTAATTTTGTTCTTTTTTGTCGTTTTTTCTAATCGCCTTATGTAGTATGTCTTTTTTCAACCAAAAAACCCAAAATCAATATCTTAGGATACGAAAACCATCCTAAGCTAGGCATTGAATCGCCCAAGAAAACTTATACAGACATAAACCGACAAGAACTAAAACATCAAGTAAAACCGACAGGAACTAACCGTCAATTCTGGCTGTCTTGATGGGACGACAAAAAAGGTTTCGAAAAACCATGAGTGGGAAAGTTAAGACGATAGGGAAAGCCATCGAAGAATCGGATGAAAATTGTCTAAAAAACACCTAAACTCACTTCTGAGGGAAAGAATTGAAAAACGGAATGGATCTGAACTCGGTTGGTGCATAGAGTAGTATATGCGGCATCATTACGTCCATTATAGAAACAAAAGCAAAAACTGCTGTTCAAACAGTTACAGGATCATGGAATGAAGTAAAAAAAAACTGAGTATTGCATAATGAAACTTTTGAAAAGCTTGCCTTTTTATAGATTAAGATTCTTCGAATAAAACCATGGAATGATTACTATATGTTAAACAAATTTTGTATTATAAAACAAACAAAGGAAAGAAGTTAAGTCTTCGGACCAAGATACAGTACTGATTTAAATTATCCGGACAAACCTTGAAATTTAAAACGCGTTTTTCTCAAATTGGGTTGAGTTTAGGTGAAAACTGATGAAGACAAAACTTGCTTAAAATTTTAGCTGAATTAATATGGTGTAATTTGTTTTGCGAAATTCGGGCCCAAAGTTTTACCCCAAAAATGGGTCATTTTGGCTTTTTTTAGTTAATCAAAAATTACGCCGAAACAATCCGGTCGATCACAGACATAGTTATATCAAAGTGAGCCCCTTACTTAGCCCAACAAACTTTAAGAAGAGTTTTATCTCCAAAAAAAGTTACAAATTGTTTAAAAACTGTTTTTAAATAAATAGTTGGTATTTTATATAGTAAAAACGACCTTTTTTGTCTATCAAACAAAAATAAATTAATTTATACAATATTTTGGAGATTATACCCTTCTTAAAGTTTGTTGGGCTAAGTAAGAGGCTCACTTTGATATAATTGGGTATAAAATTTTGGGCCCGAATTTTGCAAAACAAATTACACCATATTAATTCTGCTAAAATTTTAAGCAAGTTTTGTCTTCATAAGTTTTCACCTAAAATCAACCCAATTTGAGAAAAACGGGTTTTAACTTTCAAGTTTAAAGCGTTTTGTCCGGTTAATTGAAATCAGCACTGTATGTATTTAAAGTTCCAATTGTGCTGATCTTTGATGATCGTAAAAATTCTACTAAACAATTATACCGTTTTCTTGAGGGGAGTAATTGTTAAGTAGATCCCAAAGTTCAAACATAGTCACAAGCAAAGTCTGAACATAGTCACAGTCAAAGTCTGAACACAGTCCTAAATCACGTATGAACACATTCTGTTACAAATTTTGAAAACAAATGCAAAAGTAAGAAAAAATCACAAGCAAAACCCGATGTCAGTCTCACTCAAAATCTGATTTTAGAATTAAGCAAAGCATAAGAATAAAACGAAGTTTGTTTTAAAATATTTGATCGGAATTTTTGTGTCTGATTTTGGCTAGCAAAATTTTAAAACAGTTGCAAAATTTATGCATGCGGTTTGCTCCATAATTTTTTTGCCAGGTTTGATTACGTCTGCAACAAGATGATCTACACATGATCCGAACGTCATTCATTCGCAATTTTTGGGGCTAGGCAAAACCGTCAACACAGAAAAAAAACAGCATGCTCGAAGACATTCAAGTCAAACATAAGGACTCACGAATGCAGACAGAGTTTTTGATTAGACGTTTATTTAATTAGACACACGATGAGCATTTATCTCACCTTGATGATTGGGAGTGCTAATCACCTTATGCAGTATGTCTCTTTTCAAGCAAAAAACCCAAAAGCAATGGTTTTTATAACAGGCATTGAATTGGCCACGAAAGCTTATCCAGGCATAAACCGACAAGAACTAGTACATTAAGTGTTACCGCCGGAACATGATGCAGAAAAAAACTGAAACTCAAAAACCATTCCCAACACAAGAGAAAATCAAGATTCGGTTAATAATCACCAGCTTTTATGAGCATCTGAAAGCAATACAATTCAAAGGTGGAAGATTTCCCTTATGTCTCCTTGGTCCGGTAAAGGAAACTAACTTAGGCTGAAATCAAAATCAAATCAACCGAAAATTGCGATGAAGAATGTTTTATTAGTCCTATTGTCAGTGCCGGCAAAAAGTGAATTAAATCAGTTTTCGATTAAAATTCTTTTTTTAAAGTAAACTGATCTAAAAAAAACTAATATCAAATGCCGAGGATACATGAATTCATAGTTACGTTATAGCACAACTTTCAGAAAATTCCATTGGAGAATATGACATTACTGCTTTTGGGCAATTCTAATTTTGGCCTAAAACGTTCCAAAGACTACTTTTTCCCAGAATAAAATCAGTTGGTTTCCATTTAAAGTTAGCAACGGCTGTTACCACTGTTATCTACAAAACATTATCAATAAAACGCATTCAGATTAGTCTGAAGAGTTTAAAAGAAGTATAATCATTTTTAGCCTAAACGTATAATTTCAATCCCCGCGATATAAACGGATTTTTTTTAGTCACAGTAATAAGCAATCCTTCTAGAGTCCTCTGGAATTGTCACACTCGGCCTGAACAACTCAATTTTTGGTTGCCACGGCTGACCATGCAGAACTTCGGTCCCCTCCGTCTGAACATAAAACGATCATGTAGTTTTAACTTCTTCATTACATCTGCAACGTTCTGTTACATGAAACATTACATTCTGTTATATGAAACATTACGTTCTGTTACATGTTTACTAACCGATCATTGCTGGTTGTTTGCTTAGTAATTTATCCTAGGTTATAAGTCTCACCTTAATTCATCAAGTTTCTTGGCAAAAGTTATAGTTTAAAAATTTAGTTAGAAAGAGTATGAATTTATATAGTTTACATAGAAATTTATATAGAAATTAATGAACAACTGTCTTTAGTACCAATGAGGATGGGGTCAAAACCTAGTTATTACATTTAAATTAACACTTCGTTTGCCTGTAGTCCGCGTCTAGATTGCTGATTGATGTGTCCACCTAATGCTTTTCAGAGTATTGGGTCATCAGTTCCTTTAAATCCGTGCTGCTGCATTTTTGTTCAGGAACTTATAAAAATTCTAAGATCGTATCTTAATAAGTTTATAAAATAAAAAGAAACAAAAGAAAGAAAGAAAATTTTTCCGGAAAAGGTTAACTCGACTGAGCGAGTTGAAATGAGAATGGAATAAAAAAATTATGAAGATTTTAGACAGTTCCAATCTTAATGCAAGAATACGTCAAAGTACCTTTGTCTAATTCTAAACTTCATGGACTTTGTTTCATCGGATATCTTTCATTTTCCAGGTGTTTGGAAAATTTTCAGTAGTCTCATTTTTGAAGTTTTTAATATAAAAAAGCCGTTATTCATTCCGTCTCTGATTTGCAGGTGTTTCATTTTTTTGTGTCTTTCTAAGGCTCCAAAGACCGGGTGCTTATCGCTCTAATGTCTGCTTTTCAAAGCAAAACAAATTAACCGGTCAGCTTTTATGGCGACAAACTTTTTCTTTGATATCCGACAAAAAAGTCTGTGGAAAAAAAATTGAATATATTAAAAGGAATTCAGCTTTGAAAAAATGGAAAAAAATCGGACTAAAATTTAAAGGACTTTAAATAGAACAATAGACTTTTGTCTACATGTATTATTTGCAATACTACACATGAAACATTACATTCTGTTATATGAAACATGACGTTCTGTTATATGAAACTGACACCTGGTGATTTATTGTTCCGAAAAGCTTTGTATTCAGGTGTGTTTTCTTTTTGTTTTTTTTAACAGAAAATCGGGTACAACAAATACTCGTCAGAATAGGGCGATCGATATCAAATTAAAGCAGTTTCAAGTGTGATTCGAACAAAATTAAAAATTATTATAAAATTGTCTCAATTCCGAGAAAAACTGGCTTGAAATTTTTCAGTTATAGTTCAATTTGTCGTGAGTAAAGCGATCGCTTAACGTTCGTTAAACAAAAACTCAACTTTTATGTAGATTTTAAATCTAGGAAAGCAAGATTTTATTCAAAACAAAACAGTTTTGGAAGTTTATTAGCGCTTCCTTTTTCAATAAAAATTTTCAAAAAATGGTTGTGAGAACAATAAAAAATTTATTGTTGTTTGTTTTTCATTCACTTTTTGATGTCAAATTTTAACAATTATGCCTATTTTGCTGACATTATACGCATTTGTATAGTTCTCTAATTACAACACTTCTTGAAAACGACACTAGTTTGAAGAAAAAAAGAGAAAAAAAATCTCTGTGCATTTTCTTATGTATGTGGTGGGAACATTCTGTGCTACTTGCACAGCAACCAGCAATGTTTTTTTTGAGTGTGTTCTATTTGTTGGTCAGGCATGTGAGGTCCAGAGTTTCGCGTTCGACTTGAGTTTACACCAACAGAATTGATTACAGTGGATGAACTATCACTCCCAAAATACGTTCCAGAAATGATAAAGGTCGATTTTGACTTCCAGGAAGGATAACAGCCAATTTGACTTCAAGTTTAAAATCAGAACAATATTATTTTTATCCGCAGAAGAAAAGGACCAATATGCGAGCAAGCTGATCAATTCGTTACAGATCAACTGCTTGAGACCTACGTGCAACTTTTTTGGTTGTTTTACAGCTGAATCGTATCAGAATCGTATCAGATCACCCGCAAGCAATGAGCATGCATCCACGCTTGGCCTCGAACCAACAACCTGTCGGCTGACTTATCGAGATCATGTCACATCACAATCACCTCTTTAATGTGTTTTTTAGGTAGTGACAGACAAGCTAAATGAGCAGCAGAACCAAACAGCTCACAGGAGTCTTAATTCAGAGAGACTGCTCTACTGTTCCAGTGTGGGGTTCTGGAGTCTGGGTGCCCTGGGTTCATCTTTCCTTGCTTTCCAGCTAGTCTGCAGTGGTCCCTCCCGTATAGGGTGCAAGAAGACAGTGTACATCAGTGCACTAATAGCATCCATTGGACTCACAGGCACCACTGCAGAACATGATCTAGTATCACAATTTAAATTTTAAAAGTTTCATACTGGCTCTTTTCCAGTTCATCTTTTCAACTGATTTGCAATTGCATTTAAATCTCTTTTCAACTGGTTTGCAATTTTAAAAGCCCATTTATCCACGGGGGAAAGGACCAACACAAGAGCTGTACAGCTCATCACGGCGAACCGCTGTTGTGCCCCTGTTTAAGAACTACATGCTATTTTTTTGGTTATTTTTCTGGGCTGGGTAATGTTGCTTCACCCTCAAGCTACGAGCCCTCAAGCAAAAAAAAACATTTACTCAAAGAGCGAGGGGCGCCTTCTCAACTGAAAATTAAAATTTTTTTTTGTCCGCGCTTTTTCGCAGAACTATATGCAGTTTAGTAAGTAATATTTTGAAGTTTTTTGAAGAACTTTTTAGGAAACTTATGTTATTCTAGAAAATTTACGGTTTTAGTTTCAATTAACGATTTTATCTTTAACCGAGGTAAAATCGTGAAATCAAAATTATGAAAGTCTTACATTTTTTTTTTCAACTGGTTCGTTTCTTTTGTTAAAATTCATTTTACTCAAATCAAAGTCTGAAAAACTATGACTCTTGTTCATGTCCTGCAGTGCAATTCTCATTCGGCTTCGTGAGCTTCCCGTGGTTGTTGCCGGTGGGAAGACTGGTGACAGGGTTCGGAGACGGCATCCTCTTATTCACTGCCGAAGTCTACCTTGACTCCGTCACTCCTCCTTCCAAAGAACACTTCATAAGGTTAACTCACTGGATACGAGTCCGAAACCTTTATGCATGATAATTGTATTTTAAAAAAATGTTCTTATATTAACCACAGTTATTGCATAATTTACAAACTACTTCAAGTCAGAGAGAGCGTCATAAGACTATACCGGCCTTTTTTTCAAAAAAAGTAATGTTTTCCAGCGTAAACATAGAATATATATTTCCCGGTACAATAGAAGACATCCCCTAACAAGACAATTTAATGCTTATTTGACTGTTTTGATTTTTGAATTTTGAGCCTTAAATTGACGAAGTTCTCTGCAAATAAATTTTTATGTGCACTAAGTTACCGTCTATTAACAAGGAAAAGAAAAAAAAACGTGAATCTCGGTTTAGCTAAATTAGTCCATTTAATTCGACATGAATACCTAAATTATTAAATTTACCGCGAGTATTGCATAAAAATTCATCCTTGTCAATTTGAGCATTCATATTCTGTGAATTAACCTTTTACTATACTTTGAACCCTCTTTGCCCTCTCATTCCTCGGAGGCGTGTTCATCTCGGAGCTACTCGGAACTTACTTTCTTCTGGGTTCCCCAACCCTATTCCCTCTTCTTAACTTTATACCCCTTCTGGGCTACATGGTGGCAGTGGCAGCTATGTTCCGATCATACGATAACCCCAGTGACGTTGGAACCAGAGGAGCGACCGACAGGTAAGCATGGAGGGATACCGACCTTAGATGAGGGCGGTTTAAAACGCAAATCATTAAATAACAAAGCATGTACACTGAGAAAAAAGGCGAGAAAGTATCGAAACGAACGTTTTAAATTGGGAGGGGAGGGACGACAATGAAAAGACTTAGTATCTACAATTTTTGTTGAAAGCTCTTATTTAATGACAAATTTACAGTTCCCATTCGAGAAAAGTGACAAAAAATGCATGTCAATCTGAACAGAGGTTCTACCATGGGTTCATCGCAAAAAGCTGATCAGTTCTATCTTTTATTCCCTTCACATGGTCAAATACGGAATCCCGGTCGCCGTATAAAATAGCAAAGAATATTTGTAAATATTTCTTTACTTCATATCTTTGTGCCATTTTCTTGGTTACGCAATTTTTTGTTCGAAAGGTGCATCGTGCTTAAAAGGATTCAATTTTTTACACACTCAGCGTGCCACGAGGGTTCTTTGAAGTTCTTGAATTTGCTTGGAAAAATCATTTCTAAGCCATAGTTCCTTCCACCCCTAGAGGGGTAGTGGAAATAATAAAACTTGCATATCTATTGATGACAGAGCACAGTGGATTCTGAGCCAGTTCTACGAGGATGACGTGGACGACTACCAGGAGCTGGAGCCCATGATCCAGTCTCTCCTCTCCTCGTCCTCTGTCGCCTTAACACACCCCCCGCACTCCTCCTCTGCCTCACACGCTGCTGGGCGCATCTCAGTGGCTACAACCTCACTGTCACACGACACATCAAGATCCTTCAGGACGTAATGCAACTAGCTAATTATGGATAACATGAATCGAGTTACAAAGTTCGAGATCTCTAAGCGTTACAAGACTTTTAACCATAAGTACCATGATGCCTTGAAGCATGATGAAAGCAAGTACAGTGATAGGATATCCATTTTTTCAATTTCTTTAAGTCCAAGTATCAATTCAATCGTATGCTATGGTGGCACTACGGACTATTTTGGACTACATTTTGCATTATTTTTGGCAGAACAAACTGAATTTTTTAGAAAAAAAGTTTCCGATACATTTATCTGAATTGCCTGATGGTTCGGTTGCGTATATACAAAAAAGTTAGACTTTATAGTTGGACATAAAAATTGGGGAAATGATTCTGTGGCGTTTCAGATTGGACGTGACAGCAGTTTGGACCATGCTGGCCCTGGTGTTCCTAGAGAAATGCAGTGGAGCAACTGTGCTTTTCTATTACTCGTGTCGCTTCTTCGCCAACCGAGTGGACTCCCTCTCCACCCATCAAGGTCAAATACTGACGGTACTATGTACTATGGTGGCCATGATAGTGTGTGCACTGTCAAGTAGATACCAAGGTTTCCATGCACATCGCCTGCTATGGGTCATTATCGGTGAGCAAATATTAAACTCGTTACCCTATAATGACGTTCTAAGAAAAATTATTCATGAAAATGTCGGATTTCTATTCATAATGTCAAGACATTTCATTGCCTCTTTTCTAAATTTCTATCCATCTCAAGGCTAATGTTAAGACTCCCTTTTTGCCATCATTCAAGACCCTACACGGTATCAAAAAGTTAGTCCTGTTTAGGCTCTCTAGGTACTGTTGCGTCTTCAGTGGCTCTGGAGTTGATGTTCGAAGTGGACAACCAGAGATCCTCGCGTCTTCTTGCACTCTGTGGCTCATTATCGTTCTTCTTCTTCTACACTATGGGACCCAGACTCGCTCTAGAACAGGTACTATCGACTGCACAGTGCACGGTTGAGTTACAGTTTTTGTTCGGAATACCGACTACTTGGTTGAGTTTTTACAGCTCTTGGGTGATTTTTGAGCCATAATGACGTATCTGAAGCATTAGCGGATTTAGGGTGGGGGCGGGAGGGGACGTCTTTTTTCTCCCCTCCCCCCTCAGGGATTCGACCCCCAGCCGACCCAAAGGGTCCCCCCTTTGGTACTATTTGAGATATCCATTTTGGCTGACTGACCTTCTAAAGACGCCTTTGGTGCCAATCTCTACAAATTTTGAGGGGGGAGCGCGCGCCGAAAAAACGCGATTTAACTGTCGATATTTTCCAAAAAGTGCTAAGGTCGACAAAACTTTCAATATTTTTTTGAAAATCCGCCCCCTCGAGAAATTCCTAGATCTGCGCCTGATCTGAAGGTTTTGAAAATTTTGGGCGCTCCTCTTTACATCGAAATCTACTGAAAAAAATTGCTGTAAAATCAGAAGGAAAACTGAATTTTTTAAAGATTTTTCTTTACTTTTGACCTCCTTCTGAATTACTATGGTCTGAACATTCTGTGCTACCTGCAGACCAACTGGCCATCCTTGCTTCCTGTAAATTGTTTCCTTGTAATTAGGTGCGGTGTGAAGACATGTGCTATCAGAAGAAGCTGCGACACATTTCCCTAATGAAGAAGGCGGAGTGGCTCACTCTTCTTCTGGTGGCAGAAATAATCCCCCCTCTCATGGACTCAATCGGCAGATACTTCTTCTTCATCTTCATTGGGTTCCAGTTGCTACTACTTGTTGTGTACATGTATAGACTGAGTTCTGTCTCCAATGCAACCGACGGATCACCTCACTGATTATGTATTTTGGGTTTCCACCATAGTGTATCCGAATTCCCCTGTCTCGATGTCGTGCCATGGGATATTTTTACTGATGTTTTTTCACTATGATCTCACTCTCTACTCGAAGCATAAAGGTGATCCAAATAGTAATAGGAAAAAAATTACTGCTTCAGAAATGTGATTTGATGAACAAAAACATTTGATGGGAAAAAAGCAAAATTCTCAACAAGAAATTGAAGTTTAATCCGTTAATGTTTTCTTTTTATGTCAACCAAACAACGATTCAAAACTTTGATGAAGTTTCTGCTTATGTCTCTTTGTCTTAGTGGGCTTTGTCTTTTCTCGATGGGGGCGTATTTTAAAAAAGAATTTTGAAAGTTTGGTCGACTTAGGTATACCAAATTGATTCTTACGAAGACAAAAAACGGGTCACAAATGCCAAAACATCTTGACCAAAAAATTGCTTTTATTCGGCGCGCGCTCCCCTTCATAATTAGTATATATTGGCGTCAAAGGCGTCATTAGAAAAACTTTGGGGTTAATACCAAAGGGGGACCATTTGGTTGGTGAGGGAGTCGAATCGCTGTCCAATTACTATTCTCATGATGGAAGGACCGAATCATGGAAAGTTTTCAACCAATCGGATCCAGTAGAAAGCAAAAAGCCAGAAGTCAAAAGCAAAAAATGAATTATAGCAACCCGTGCAGATATAATATTTTGTGTTTTGTTTTTTTACTTTTCTGGAAATCATATCTGTGAAAAAGTATTAGGCTGACACCCTCGTCCCCAAACAGACCAAATTAAGATCAGTTTCATTGTCTTTATCTAAAAAAGTTGGAAAAATGGATATCATTGATTTACAATGGGTTGTAATGGTTTCCCGGGTTGAGAAACCATTAAAACCCATGGTTCCACGAAAAAAAATACAGAGACCATGAAAAAAATGCTTGTCATACAATTTTCTCAGACAAAAAATTGTGGAACAAGCATTTTTCGAGCTCAATCTTTTCAAAAATTATCTTAAATAGTAGTAAAACTCAAACAAAACAAAATGACGGCATTTTTGTTTGCATGAAAGCAACTTTGGCATCAAAAAATTTTGAACAAAAAAATGCGTTTCATCAAATTTCATATATGAAAACTGTATGATATGCAACTTTCCATGGAACAATGCAATTTTAAGTTAAAAATTGTCTAATCCTTTTTTTGGTTGCGAACTTGTTTCTTTGCTCAAATGAAAAAACAAAAAAATGGCTTGCAAAGTTTGATTTTTCGTGTCTATAAGGTACCCCAGGTTGAGTTTTCCAAACAAATAGTCCAAAAAGCACAAGCAAGTTTTTTTTATGGACAGATTTTTTTTTTCGTTTTCACATGCTAAGGCAAACCTAAGATTGTAAAAATAAACACGCCCCTTTTCTCGAACATCGAAAGTATATAATTATGTGATGAAATGTTAAGATTAACCACATAACTAATATCAACAAATGCAGTTTGTTTATCTGCGTGGTAACTTCAGATCATAATTTATTATACTGTTTGTAATTTATTGTATGGAAAAAATGCTTATCATACAGTTTCACAGAAAAAAAATGTGGCAAAAAGCTTTTAATTCAATTCCAAAATGTGGCAAAGTAGTGCTTATTACAAATTTCATAGGATGGAAAATGCTTATTTTGCTCTTTTCATACAATTTTATCAGTCCATGAAATAGTTCAAATCTGTATGATAAGCATTTTTTATAGTATGAAATTGTATGATAACATTTTTGTCGGTTCGCATCCATGGAACTCGAGTCAAGTGCGGAAACCTATAAATAAAGGGGAATCCCTCATACGCGAAGGACCAAATTTGTCAGCTAAGAATTCGTCAGCAAATCAAAGCTCAGTGTTCAAAAAATTGGAAGAAATAAGCAAAAAGTTAAGTCGGTTTTGGATAATTTAAAAGGTATTGAGTGGTTGAACATTTTTGCGCTTTCGATTCTTCGCGCATAAGAGTAGCCCACATGAACAAATACTGCACTATAAGTAGCATAAAAAAAGGCACGACTTCAAATTTTAATCATTTCTTATCTTTGAGTAAAAACACAAATGTCTTCAATCTCGCTAGACTAGACTGTCTTGGACCCAGATAGCTTCTTGTTCATTTTTCATCATCACCCAGGTGGTGGTCGGCGATTATGCCGCAACCATGATAACTCAAAATGGGTAAGTCGCAACAAACAAATGGTGGCGACTTTGCGCAATCCAAAAAAAAATGTCGCAATTAGGTGCGAGGTAGAGTTTTAGGTGGCGGTTTATGCCGCAACCATCGCCATGCAAAATGAGCATCTTCCAACTGCGCGTGATCAAAAATCATGGGCAATTTCGGCCGATCCGAACAAAAAAGTGCAACTTTTTGCGACCGTGATTTTTCTGCGCGACTTTGTGCGACCAAAAAACTCAGCCCGACATAGCGGGATCCAATTAGAATTATTTTGCGACTATGCGTTTCAAATGAGCAAGGTGAAATCTATATGAAGTTCTCTTTGGAACCAACAGCTTGCAGTACACAATTTTGCTTGTGAGGCTGTTGCATAATGCGTTACTCAGATGAAAGTGTTTTCTTGGGCAGAAACTTATTGAAGTTTTCAACAAGGGTAGGAAAAAAAACAATTTCACTGTTGATTTCTAGATAATCCATTACTGAGGCGAATTTATTGGTAACTTGCAACGGAGTTTTACATTGGATTCTCATTGTCAGTCTATATAAAATTTAAAAAAAAATGATTTTAAAAAAGGGTTGTAATCCTAATTTTTCACAAATCAAAAAGATCAATTTTAATCGATTATGATCAGTTATCATGAATTATAGTTTTTTCGTGAATTATTCTTAAATTTTCTAGCATAAACACAATGCCCGTTAAAAAGATATTAACCGTTAAGAAGAATTGTCTGTTGTAGAAAATTTAGTTGCAAAAAATGAAAAAAATAAAATAAAATTGATAAAACAAGAATTTTTTTTACTTCGAAAGTTAAAATGTTTGAATCCCTTTTAATCGAAAATGATCGTTTTTTATTTTAAGATATACAGACTTAAAAAATAATTGTAATTGATTAGCATTCATCAAACACTTACGCAGGATAACAACAAACAAATCTGTTCGAAAAATTTTGTTAAGTTTGCTATTGCGGCCTTTCGCGATTTTGACAAGATCAAGTTTTCTAGGCAATAAAAAACTGGAGCTTTCTTTTTGAGTAACATTCGCTTCAAAAATGAGCATTGTGTTTGTTTTTTTTAATCGCAAATTGTGAAAGTTTTTCATCAAATTGTCAACTAACTACCAAAACCGAAAACGATGTATGAGCTAAACAATCGAAATCAAATTATTTCTTGAACCTGAAACTGTTTTCACGTTCTCCTACACAAATATTAGATTTTTTTCGTTTTCGCGTAATATCTTTTTTCAAAAACGCTAAAAACTTCTCTTTCCTTTGTATCGCAGATTAATGTATACCTTGATTAATGTCTGATAATTTAAAAATTCAAATTTTAAAAAAATCATTGTTGAAAATTTTTGCCAAAGTTTTGATACTTTCGTTACATTATTTGTGTAAAACAAAATTAAAACTTTTCAGGTTTTTTCCAATTTTTTTCTAATGCGAAACGGTCAAATCTATGGTTACTCTAGGCTTGAGTAACCAAGGGTTTTTTCACTTGTGTTGGTTTACGAACACAACCAAAAAAATTTTGAGAAATTTAAATGTAAAAAAATTATTATTTTTGGTTCATGGAAAAATGCTAGTCATACAATTTTCATATATGAAAAATCAGTAATCATAGACTTCACATGCAATTTTTTGTACTTATGGAGTTGTATGAAAACCTTATGATTAGCGTTTTTCCATTTATGAAAATCGTATGATTAGCGTTTTTGGTCAACCCGGAGATATTGCCCCACAGTTAAATTGCCACAGTTGACGCAATTTTTGTATATTATATCTGTGCCAATTGTTTCTCCTAGCATGTAAAATATAAAAGAAAGCTTTAATTGTGAGACGTGTACTATACAAACCAGGGGCGGATCTAGGATTTTCCCCGAGGGAGGGGGGGGGCTTTTAAAAACATTTCGGAAATTTTGTTGACCCCTTTTTTAGGTCGATCCAATTGACTTTCTGAGCTCTCCCAAATAACAATAAAGCCCCATTTTGACCAATTTTTCTGTTTTGAAAAAACAGGCCAAAAAAGTTCTGTAATACTTAGACCCAAAATAGCGTTTTTTTCGCCGCACGCTCTTCCCTCAAAATTATATTATATTTTGTCGCCAAAGGTGCCTTAAGAAAAGTTTTAGGGTCAGTCAGCAAAAAATGGACAAAATCTCAAAATAGTACAAAGGGGGATCCTTTGGGGCCGGCAGGAGGTCGAATCCCTGAAAAGAGGCATTCGCCCCCCCCCCCCCCCACTGGTGGTTCTGGGCAAAAAATATATTCAATGATTTGGCACTTCCGATAGAAAGAGGGTGAATTTTACCGAAAACAGGTCGAGAGACTGTTCAACACTGTCAACATTTTTCGCCGAAATTGCATCGACGACCTCATCCACCGCTTCCTCTCCCTCTGATTGGTCAATTTCTTTCTTATGCTCTTACCAATCAGAAACCTTGTTTATCTCCTCCGCAATCGCCTCTTTTTCCCCTTTTCATCGTGTCATAACAGTCCTTGCTTTATTAATTTGGTCAGGTGACTATTTGATTCGGTTCTCTCTCTCCGATATTTTCCCGACAAATCTGTGTGTGTCGTCATTTTGACTCATGTCGTCGCGGAAAACGCTCAATTTTTGCTTCATCTCCTCAAAAGTAGCTTCAGCTTTGGCTACTTATTTTTTGGCGCCATCTAGGTTTTCAAGGAATGCAAGAGGGTCGTTTAATTTTCGGGTTTGATTACAAGCAGGGTTTCTATTTCCACAACTTCAGTTGAGACCTTTGTTTCCATCTCAGCTTGTTTGTCGACCACCTCAAACTTTGTTTCAGTATGCCGGCTTTGACCTTGAAAGAAAAATATATTTCTAATAAATTTTAATCTTCATTGTACTTTGAAGTCTCAACGATATTTGGCCCGTGAAAAACTTAATTATCAGGCTAATTTTTCTTTTTTTTTATACAAACTCAATTCCGTTTTGACTCAATGTGTTATTAAGCCTCGAGTTCATTTGGTGCTCTTCACTAAAAAGTTGTTTTTTTATTTAACCACTATTTTCCCTTCTATGG